GAAACAAGTGACGGTACATATAGGCAAGAGCAAGGAGAGTACAAAAACGACACTGAACAACAAGGTCTCTCTGTAAAGGGGAGTTATAAGTACGTCGCCCCTGACGGTAAGAATATCCAAGTTACATTTGTCGCCGATAAGAACGGTTACCAGCCAACAGAAGAAAATACGGATCAAGAAAATAAGCCCACTCAATCCTAATAGAACCAACGCTGAAATATCAGCGTGCTATGCGTTTTGCTGAAACCAAATATAAAATTATAAACTACCTAGTTTATAATTATACATAGTAATAGTGAGACCAGAGGAAATCTTCTCTCTAGTTTTAATCCGGAACAATGTAAATAAGGGAAAAAGTACAAAATATATGTGTTGGTTTGTAAAATTATTAAAGTATTCATCCATATATGTATAATGTAGCAAACATGTAAATATATTAAAGTTGATTTTTATAAAAAACAGTGTTCTTGTTTTCATTTTTTTGCTGATAAGATCACGTTTCGTCTTTCCGTTTATAAAATGAAGCATTATATGACATATAATGACATTAAATTATTGTTTCCAAATGGAAGGGTTGTTTTTGAACGGTAACGAAAGCTTAAACTTGAAATTTTACTGTGGAGGAAAAACGGAGGTCTCCCGTCGGGCACTTTGTTCAGCCCGGGAAGTTAGCAAAGCTCCGTGAGGTAGTATGGCGTTATTCTAGAAGTACTTCGGAACTTCGAAAGCTTTATTTAGGCTTCGGTTTGTTTCGGTTGTGGCGCCAGATAGCTGTGCTTTCACTTCTATGTTTCTGTCAGAAGGGTAACTGAGAGCCAGAACAGGCTGTGAGAATATTCCATCGTAGTCCTCGGAGGTAACAACGCATCTATTTTTTGTTCGAAGTTGGCTGCAAATGGTGGACTGTAAATTCGTTTGTCACTTCAATTTTATAAAAATAATAAAATAATCTCCTAGTCCCATACTAATGTATAATTATAAATATTGATTCCAAACCAATACAGATTTTTAATAGTTACAACGAAAAGCATGAAGTGCGCACAATGACTTAGTGTAAAGTAGCTATTGTTGAGAAAACTAAAATAACAATTCATAAGATTTTCAGTGCAATGAATTTCAGTTAGTAAGATCATTTAAGGCAATATTATATCTAAAATTCTTAATGAATTATCTCTTCATACGAAAAATCAATACGAAGCAAGGACTTATTAATCCATTAGGGGTCTAGAAGAAATTATTTTACGACAGACGACGCAAAAGTTTTGTAAAAAACGTGATTTTTCTTTTTAACTTTTTACATTCGCAAGTTATAATTTAGCTTTTTAAGGTTTGGATAATTAATAGTAAAAATACGATTGTTTAATTTTCTTTTTGAGTAAATTTTTACAAGCTTAATTTAAATATATCGTGTTTAATTGCAAAATAAATTTTCTACGGGAAAATTTTCCTATGATCATCATCACCATAATATTATACTCAGTTTTATAAATATATAGAAAGTTTAATTAAATTCTTAATATTTACTACTTTACTACAGTGGTCAATCATTTTGCTACGGCACTGCCATTGTACATAATTTATAACTCCTTACGACACAAAAGAAGTATTTAGTGTAAGTGAAACTTAAAAATACGCCATTAAAATTCTGATTCAGTCATAAATATTCATTGAAGGATCGCACTCAGATTTAACGTTTAAAGCGTTTATGTTTTTGTACAAAATACTTTGTTTATATTTACGTATTACAGACCCTTCATCTTTTTATTTTATTTAATAAGGGTGACAAACGAGCTTACAATACAGTTGATGGTTTTTTTTTATAGAATAAGGGTGACAAACACACACACACACACAGGCCTGAGATGGAATGCCTCGTTTCCAGTAAAAAAGGATTTCCGGTTCGACACTCTGGTACTCGAGAGCGGGGGTACTGAGAGCGGGGTCTCATACCGGTCGAGCAACAGCATGGCTCTATCACGTAAAAAGACGGTAAATGGATACTGCAGCTTATAAACATCTATATCTATCTTTGATTTTAAGACTCAATAAACGAGATAAAACGTAATCAAGAAGTTAACAAACTATTAAAATCATCAATCAATAAAAAAAAGATTAATTTAATCTCGTAATCACTTCCTTGTTAGTTAGAATCATATACAAGTATATAAATAAATATTGGATACCAGCTGATACATTTTATATAGGATAGGGTGACAAACGAGCACACAGTCCATCTGATGGTAAGTGGTTGCTGCGGCCCATAGACATCTACATCTATCCTCGATTACAAATCAAAATGCAGATGCATTGTTGCCGTGAGGACTAAGATGGAATGCCTCGTTTCCAGTAAAAAGGGTATCCGGTTCTCTACACTCACCCTACGAAATACAGCAGCATTACGCTACTATTTCACGCTGGTATTCTGTGAGAGCGTGGTCCCTCCCCGGTCGAGCCGACCCATTCATGCTACAACTATACGTCTAATATAACTGCAGCATGGCTCTAATACGTATAAACTCTTACTCCTTACAGACCTGATTTTAAGACTCAATAAACGAGATAAAACGTAATCAAGAAGTTAACAAACTATTAAAATCATCAATCAATAAAAAAAGATTAATTTAATCTCGTAATCACTTCCTTGTTAGTTAGAATCATATAAAAGTATATAAATAAATATTAGATACCAGCTGATACATTTTATATAGGATAGGGTGACAAACGAGCACACAGTCCATCTGATGGTAAGTGGTTGCTGCGGCCCATAGACATCTACATCTATCCTCGATTACAAATCAAAATGCAGATGCATTGTTGCCGTGAGGACTAAGATGGAATGTCTCGTTTCAAGTAAAAAAGGTCTCCGGTTCTCTACACTCACCATACAAAACACAGCAGCATTAAGCTACTATTTTACGATGGTATTCTGCGAGAGCGTGGTCCTTCCTCGGTCGAGCCGACCATTCGTCCTAAAACTATACTACTAATATAACTGCAGCATGGCTCTACCACGTATAAAAACATTGAAAAGACGATTGAAAAGACGTAATTAAGAATCCCAAATCAGTGAAATGAATATTTTTAACGCTATACGTACATGTATAATATAAGGATTCTGATTGAAGGCTAAAAGACTTTGTCATCTGCGGAGTTTATGACTTCAAAGGTAAGACCATCGGGAGCGTTATAACTTATAAGAATAGAAACCTTTCACACCAATGCCTTGATTTAATCCACGGTTATAAGCTGACCTAATTTTTTTCGCGACACGCCGCAACTTGTCTTAAAATTGAAAGTTGAAATTTCTTTTATTGAATATAATAAGCCAAACAGTGAAGTGGCGATGTGAGAATATCTACTAATCCGTAACATCCCATGGCCTTTGTAAAAGGCAACAGAGGGAGACTGCATCAGGAGATAGGCTGCAGCACCTTCCTAATAACAACAGAACAAAAATAATAAGCTTCGATTGCCAGCTCTATAAGACCAACTGTGGGAGAGGCTTATAGTCAGCAGGGGACGTTTAAAAGGTTGTAAAGAAAAATAATATATGTTTGGTATTTAATGAACAAGGTTTTGGCGACCTAAAAATGGTTCCGCCGCATTTGAATCAAACTGTCTTTTGTAAAGTTTATATCAAATGAGAGGAATAATTTTCCGTCGTCTGCCTTTAGGTTAGGTTTAAAGAGTTTATTGTCTCCAAAGGAACAAATAAATTCACTTATATGAGACTTAAAAATAACATAATTGGTAAAAATAATACATTTACATACGGTGACTTATATGAATAAAGTTACATAAACATATATCCAAATTAGAATTAAAAAAGCAGTGTCTTTAAATTAATGTTTGACAGTGATTTTATAATTTATCTTTAAATTTTGAAAACGATTTTTCATGAAACACCTCGTTCGGTAGGCTGTTGTACAATAGCGCTCCGTCAAACTAAATAGTTTTCGAACCATAAGTTTTAGTCCTAGCTTTTGGTAATTAATGTTTGTTTCGTGTACAGTGTTTATGTGATTTAGTTTTTCATTATTTTTTTCCATCCCATAACAATGTGGGCGCCTTCCAGGTAAGGGTGAATAAACTTTTGTTACACGACAGTCCGTTTTACCACCTTGAGCTTCCGTTCAGATAATTTTCAACTGCAGAAAGTTTTATGAAGAAAAGATTTTAGATTTTTTGTGGTGCCTATACTCGATTATCAAATAATATATTAGTGATCTTTTGTCTTCAAAACAAATCTATTTTTACAATATTTTTTTTTTGAAATTTACTCACAGAAAACAGTTTGTTGATTCGTACTAATAGCAGCGGAATAAACGACATTGAATCGTCTGTTTACAACTGTTAGTCCTGTAGACGCCATAAAAAAAACTTCTACATATAATATGTCATAATATATCCCTACAATATTATTAAAAAAATAACCTTGTTTCTCTTGAAATTAGTTTATTAAAAATAAATCTACAAATAACTTACAGTCTTATTCCTAAAAAATCGATATCGATACCTAAGTTAAAATAACTATTTTACTAACAAATGTTTATTTTTTATCATTTTACGACAATTTTTCCACCATATTGTGAGTGATTATATAGTTTAAGATAGTAAAATGCACCGATTCATTTTTACCGTACGGAGAAACAGATACTGGCTAGTTTGCCGCTATCTGTTTCCACTTTTTCAAAATTACAAAAGAAGCAAATCTACTAGTACTAATGCGTGGAATATCGATAGAAATAGAATTTGCTGAGTCCAGCGAGTTTGATGAGCTTGCCACTTAAAATTACTAAATCTGCTAAAATGATTATAAATAAAAGGAACAGTTAACGTGAATAAAATACGTTATAATATTTATAATATCCCTTATACAGATAATTTAAATTAAAAAATAAATTATTTTTGCTTATCTGCAATAATTATTAATACACTATTTAAATAAATAATTATTCGCAGCCTCGTCAATTAATTTATGATACCTAATTCGTCGCTCATTATGAAATTTGCTTTATACTTGTGCGGTATCCTCGTTTACCGGCTTTATATGTCATTTCGTAAAGTTGTCCCTTATCATCGAACCAACGAACTGTGCCAAGAACATCAAGGGCCGCGTTCGGTGTACCAGGATTTATTATTGCACCTTGCTCTGATCGTGAAGTGCCATCACTGCTATCATATCTGAAATTTATTAAAAGCGTGAAATCAATAAATGAAGAACTATAAATTATTTTAATAGAATTGAATCAGCAGTTTAATCAGTATCTTAGTGCGCATAATCGTTACCGTTATAGCCTATTAAAAATCTACACCTATTAAGAATCTACGACGAACTGAAAATAAGTCTCCGCACAAATTTTTGCACCGACACTACACGAACTATTTTTTTGTGCGCGTAAAATAATATTTAAATACAACATTACATATGTCCCTTTTAAAAGCCTCTCTTATCCCACCGTATTTATACTTGGTAGAGCCAAGCTGCAGTTATATTAGTAGTATAGTTGTAGCACGAATGGGTCGGCTCGACCGGGGAAGGACCACGCTCTCACAGAATACCAGCGTAAAATAGTAGCTTAATGCTGTTGTGTTTCGTATGGTGAGTGTAGAGAACCGGAGACCCTTATTACTGGAAATGAGGCATTCCATCTTAGTCCTCACGGGTGACAACGCATCTGCATTTAGATTCGTAATCGAGGATTGATGTAGATGTCAATGGGCCACAGCAACCACTTACCATCAGGTAGACTGTGTGCTCGTTTGTCACCCTATGCTATATAAAAAAATTAGTAGACCCTGGAGGCCATCCCTGGAACTTCCCACAAATTTCCAATGCAAAGTGCTCCAAATTTCACCAAATTATGTTACGATATTTGGAAGTTATGTTAAAAAAAACGTTTTTTTCAAATTCTTTCTCCTTCGATGTCTCACGAAAGAATAAACCGATTTTTATTTTCCAAACGGCATTCGACGTCATTTTTTGAGGTTAAGAGCTGATTAGTTTTTGAAATCGATCGGTAAAGCCATTTAAAAGTTATTCCAAAAAAACAGTTTTTCAAAATTTTTATTTTTGAGATTTCTCAAAATCTACTTGTCCAAATAACCAATAACTTCCCTGTTTTTGAAAATTTTAAATTTTCTTAGCGGGAAGTTAAAAAACCGCATGCTATAAGATCTTACAAATATACTTTGTTCAAAATAACTTGAAAGATACGTATTAAATCACTAAGCTAACTAATTACTTAACAAAATCGACGAATTCAAAATTCAAAATCCGGTTGTCACATACATCCTCTTAAAACTGACAACATAAGTTTCTCTCTTATTTTCGTATTTAAAAATTTCTTTCACTAAAGGTTTGACTGATGAAAAAAATTTATTGACTGGTCACAATTAGTGGTCTCTATAATCTCTGTATAATCCTCGTATGTAGGGTCTACAGAAAAACAGTCGCAAATTCATTCGAAAATGCTGACTTCAAGTAACACATTTCAAGTACATCATCACAGTGGAAGAGCCACGCGGCAGCCTTTGCTGTTGCACGTATGGGCCGGCTCAAACCCGGGTGGTACCACGACCCCACAGAAGATCAGCGTGAAGTAGAAGCTTTGCTTCTGCATTTCGTATGGTGAGTGCAGGTAGCCGGAGGCTCAATCATCATGCGGGTAGATCTGTTTATGACTTTGCTTTGGCATATGGTCTGACACAACTGGTTACCTCACCTACGCGGATCCCAGATGTGAAAGATCATGTACCTTCCCTGTTGGACTTTCTGCTGACCTCTCATCCAGATATCAGGTCTCCATTGATGCCCCTCTTGACTCCTCGGACCATTGTCTTATCCGGAGTACGGTGCGCTCCACGTCACTCCACTCACGCTCCCATCGCGGTTGCTTACTGCAGGTTGCCGCCGTGCGTGCTCCACGCAGGATGTGCTGTTTACCCAACGCTCGGTGCGCAGAGCACTCCTCTCCCTGGATATCAACAAGTCGAGTGGACCTGATGGCGTCCCTCCTATTGTGCTGAAGACGTGTGCTCCGGAGTTGGCACCGGTTTTAACACATCTCTTCCGGTACTAATACTCCTTAGGCGTAGTCCCGAAATCATTGAAGACCGCCTTCCTGCACCCGATCACTAAAAAAGGTAACCGCTCTGATTCGTCCAACTATAGGCCTATCGCCGTCACCTCCTTGTTCACTAAAATAATGGAATCCATTACTAACAACCACCTCAACTAAAAGAGGGGAAAAGGGGGTAGTCATATTGCATGTGTTAATTTAAGTGACACAACCTGCTATTAGCATATATAATATTGAATAGATAAACTGTGCACGGTGCACGATGCAACGTGTTCATATTTTATTTTAAGTTTACTATTGTGATTGCCAATATCCAATATAAACACAGACAAGTATATGCATGTGCCAATATCCAATCTAAGCACGATTGACTACATATGACGTTATAGAGGTTTTATGTTATGCTTTGTTATCAGCTTATACATATATTATGTCATATAATAACTTTACACTTCTAAGAAAGATTTTAGAGAAGATGTTAATTGGCGTTTCTTTTTTATAAAGAAATACATTTTAAGGCAGATTGTGAGTTACAGGCGTGCGAAACATGGCATCATTTGTACTTTCCAGTTTAAATAAATAACCGATATCTTTTTAAGTTTCGTTTATTTCTGTTGGCGTAAGTTATCACAAGCTTGAAAAGTCGTGGCCACAATGTTTTTTGGTAAAGTAACTTTTTTCTTATTTTTTAATTTATTTCAGCTGATTTCTTATAAAAATATTATAATTTGAATAGTTTAAATATGTAAATATAGTTTATTATGCAGTTAGCGTATGCAATATTCATTACTAACGACCTGCTTTGGTTTAGTCTGTATCCTATATCACCTGCCAGCAAGGCAACTATAGCAAATATAGCAAATATCTAGTCAATGAGGAAATCTATGGGAGAAACCTAAGTTCAGCAGTGTAATTGTGATAGTTTGTGATGAATTGATGAATGAGGAAGCTTAATCATATTTAAATTATATATTAGCGATATTAAGACAGGTATTGTGCATAAATAGCGCATTGCTTTCTTTATACTTCGCGAGATTTGCGGATGTAAGTGTATGCTGCAGTTATATTAGTAATATAGTTGTAGCACGAATGGGTCGGCTCGACCGGGGAAGGACCACGCTCTCACAGAATACCAGCGTCAAATAGTAGCTTAATACTGCTGTGTTTCGTATGGTGAATGTAGAGAACCAGAGACCCTTTTTACTGGAAACGAGGCATTCCACCAAGTCCTCACGGATGACAACGCATCTGCATTTTGATTCGTAATAAAGGATAGATGTAGATGTCTATGGGCCACAGCAACCACTTACCATCAGGTGGACTGTGTGCTCGTTTGTCATCCTATCCTATAAAAAAATTTATTTATCCTTAAAATATTTTAACTTCTCGAACTTTTGTACATATTATTCCACAAGAAATCAAATAAATCTTAAATGGATGTACTAACGTAAATTTCAAATCCATTAGTATACAGACTAAGCTCGTTAAAAATGTTTGATACCAATGTGACTTCTTACCAGTCATCAGGGATTATTAATTTTCATATATGGCTGGTGTATAAAAATAAGCCATTTAAATACACCCAGCCTCAGCCATCACTAGCCAGCTTTCAAATTACCATTAATAAAGATTGAATAGAAAATGGTTTAAGCAACATTCGGTATAGTTACAGACGATCTAGATAATATTATAACCAATATATAAATTTGTAAAGAGCTATTTTTTCGCCGTCAATCAAGCTGAGTGCCATTGAGATCAGAATACTCGACATTTCGGGTAAGTTTAAAAAAACTAACTAAGTGTTATAGTATTAGACAAGTATCGGTGAAAGTTAACTTAAAAAGACGAAGTTTTTAATGGCATTTTTGCTTAAACTTAATTATGAACAATTTCCCAAGTTTATTATCAAAATTCCTTTGAAAGATTTTTCGTCCTGAAACCGGAATATCGCTTAAAACGTTTAGTCTTCATCTAAAATAAATAAAGCATTCAACTTAAGCCTTTTGTTTGCAAACAGCGTCTCATTAAATGTTTACCTAATGAGGAATTCATCATTTTTAATAAACTTCATCGAACTATCTGAAAAGTTTTATTTTGAATGGTGGTTGATACACTATAAGGAACAGCTATTGAGAAAAATTAATCCTTTTATTTGCAACCAGTATCTAAAACCCTGTGGACTAAGACAGAATGCCTCGTTTCCTAATGAACCTTTCGTTAAAGAGAGTCTCCGGTTATCTACTCTCAACAATACAAAATAGAAGAATTAAGTTGCTGTTTTATGCTAGTATTCTGTGAGAGCGTGGTCCTAGCCCGGTTGAGCCAACCCATTCCTGCTATAACCATAATAAAGCTGCAGCATGACTCTACCACGTAAGATAGCAGCATAATTCTGCTGTGTTTTGTATGGTGAGTGTAGAGTAACGGAGATCCTTTTTACTGGAAACGAGACACTCCATTTTAGTCTTCAGGAGTGACAACGCATCTGCATTTTGATTATTAATCGAAGACAAAAGTAGATGTTTATGGGCCAAAACGTCCACTTACTATCAAGTCTAATGTGTGTTATCCTAATTATACTCGTATAAAGGAAAGAAAGCAGCGCAGAGCAGGCTCCATAACCCTCTCAAAAATGGGAGAAGGCCTGTGCTCTGGAGTGGGACTTATATATATTGCCAATTTATGAAAACTATATATTAATATAATTCGTGGCTATTAACGCATTTTTAAACGACTCAGGTACAGCATTGGATATGAAAAAACTTGTATTGATGTTAATGATGAAAAAATAGCTAAGAATCTTTGAATTTCAATTAAATTTTGATTCCATTATTACATTTTGATTTTAATATGTGGTATAAAATGAAAACAACTGAAAGAAAATGAAATGCTTGTAAAACTTTAATAAGTGTACGAAAATTTTAGCTTTTAACTTTCAAGCGTTTTTTGATTTTGTTGTAGAAAGTTCATATTTTAGTGTAATATAATATAAATGTTACGTACCGAATATAGAATTTATTTATGTGAATGGAAATAACAGTACAGAATACCAATAAAAATACGCTACACCTTATTCATATTAAATATAAGTTCGATATAATTACTATGTAGATATTAAGAATGAAATGGTCGATAAATTATTATTATGTATAGTTATATATTATTATTAGTATGATACTTGGTGTTAGATTAGTACTAACACTATAATTACAAAATACTTGAATAATTGCAGTTAAACAGACATTCTGACATTTCCTATATTTATCGTTTACAAAGCAAATAAATTACAAGGGTTTTGGAAGATTTAAAAAAAATTACATAAATTTTATATGTTATAATAAATGAATATTCACAGGAAAACATTGGGAAATATTGCAAATTGCCTATTAAGTTTACTTTTCGTGTTTGACTCCTAGCTGCTGTACGAGCTAACTTATAAAACTACATACTGGCTATAAAGTGGCTAAAATTTAAAGATTTCCTGATTGCAATACGGTCAGTGCTTTAGGTTTTACTGGTACAATAATTACGCAAACGCAGCGGTGGCAAATCATTATTATGTATGCAGTTAAATATATTAATGTTTTTTATAAAATTAAGATTAACAATGAAGCACTTAGGTCACCTGATGATAAGTAAATACTATGGCCCATATTCACCTACATTAATTATTGATTAAGAATTAAACGTAGATTCGCTCTCACTCTTGAGGTTTGAGCTTGTTTGAGCTTTAAGCTGCCATTTTACGCTTATATTATTTGTGAGCGTGATCCTTTTCCGATTGAGCCAACATAATATTTGCTGCAAACCATAAAACAGATGTAGCGTAGCTCTCCCATGTAAAATATTCTATGTGTATTAATTTCTCTTATTAAAGGGCGTAATTTTACTAGGTATGTTGTGTTATACATATGATAAATCTGGTAATAAATTTGGTTATATATATGATAAATTTAGTGATAAATCTGGTTATATATATGATAAATCTGGTGATAAATCTGGTTATACATATGATAGTGAGGCGTGTAGTGTTATTATATTTCATCGTAATTTGATCGGCAAATTTTATTTTGCAAAGTGTATTATTAAATATGTAGTTATGTATGTCAAATATAATGATGGACATATAAAATATGTGTAACGTTAATGGTCGCGTATTAAAATAACGGATCGTAATAAGGGTATTCGAACCGCAAATGGCCGTTCAACTTAAAGGAGGCGTAACACATTATTGTTAAGTTACGTTTCTGTAACTATATGATGTCTTCGTTCTACTTTTTGTACTATCATTGTCACATGCTTTTAGTAAATTAAGACTTAAATGGCATAATTAATATTTACAACCTTTTAAAACAAAAAATACAGTAAATTGATTTATAGCTTGATATATCTTAAGAATAAATTTGGCATTTTTAGTGTTTACCAAATTAAATTTCAAAAACTTAATAATATTTTGGTAGCATAAGATTCGCTACTAATTAAACTATCCAAACATCAAAATATCGAGTTACATTATCTGCTACTTTTCCACCGACCACCTCTGAAGTGTAATCTATATTATTTAATAAAAGCACAATTATTACAATCGGTTCTGCCGTTTCCAGAAATGAGGATAAGATACATAAAATATACGCGTCGAATATCTTAGAACACCTATCCATACAATTCTTTCAAATAAAAAAATTTTCCCTTTGTTACATAATTAATTTTTATACTTTTAATCTAAATACTCTAGCAACTAAATTTGTGGCGGCATTATCTTTTGTCTTTTAGAACTCGGTTGGTAAAATAAAAATTCATTGTCAAATTTGACAAAAAATAACATTAACAATGAAGTATTGGGGATATTCGCTTTCGCTAAAAACAAAGCTTCTTGTCGTTTGACCTGTTTGGTCACGTATTTAGTTAATCAGGCTACACAGTTACGCGTCATGACAATATATAGGTAAATTTACATTAATACGGAATTCCTTACTGTTTATACCACAAACATTGGAGCCCGAGAACAATCGACGATATGTTTTTGGGGATGACTCGGAATTTGCACTGGGTTTCTAATGTTGATGTCCTCTAACTTCCGATTTACAATGTACAAAACCTCAGAAATTTTAATTCTGTATTTTGCAAATATTATAATGTTTCATATAGGTCAATGTTCGCATTTGTAAACTGTGATTTAAAACTCAGATTTAGAGCTAAAATGGAGATGTTTATTTCCAAAATTTGACATCTTGGTCTTAAGTACGAGTATATGTTGTGTTTTAATAAAATATTATGCGTATTAGCTTCGTGATCGTAAATCATTGCGGTTTTAGTAAAAATATGTGAATAGCAAAGTTCAGCAATTGTATTGATCCAGCTGCACAACTGTTTAATATATTTATACTGTTTACATTGTCATCTAATAACGATTTTTATGGTCTCTTATACAATCGTTAGCGTACGAAGTTAAAAAAGTTGCCTGGTAATTAATGACTTTCTCATTCTAAAATCTTAGTCGAAACTTTATTTAAAAAATGTTTTCGTAAATGAAACAATCATTTTAATAAATTATATGAATGTATGCTTACAGCCTGTATGACGGCGGTGTAAGAGATTCATCACACCAATTCGTCAAGTACGTGTCGTAAGAGGGGGCTATCGAATAGATAAATATAAAGACTATGGGACACAGCAACCACTAGGTGGACTGTGTGCTCGTTTGTCACCCTATGCTATAAAAAAAGTCTGAATCAACAATCGCTAATGCACATGTCAAGGGTGGCGATTCGTTTAATCCAGCAGTGAATTTTGTAGGCTATACTTTTTTAATAAAGCACATGGGTAAAATAAAATAGTAATGTATAAGTTTTATTCTTACAGGCCTTTAATCATTTATAATCTACTAGCTGATATCCGCTCGCTTCGCTGGGCGAACGATAAAAGACTATAGTAACGTGGATACAAAATATCAAGATTTTTTGTTATATCCATCCTTACTTACCGTCTACATTGCAAAATGAGTAAATATACTAGATTTTAAGTTAATCGGATGTATAGTTTAAGAGATACCGTGATGAGTTAGTCAGACAGTGGTATTTTGCTTTTATAAAAAAAAAAAAAAAAAAAAAAAAAAAAAAAAAAAAAAGCGGTTAATTTATTTTTAAAAATATTTAATATTTAAAAAAATAAATTAACCCCAAATTAGTAAAAAGGGAGAAAATGCTACGATTTTGTTTATAAAAAATAAATAACGTAACAGATTAAATAAAGTTTATTAATTAATCGGTTTGAAATTTTTGTATTGAATACTAATGTAGCGATAGTATAGTTTTTGTTTGTTTACGACTTTTTTCGGACTTGATGCCCTCCAAACACGTTGATCTCGTGGGCAAACACCCACCGTGTTGTTTATGAATATTGTGTTATTTTTTTTTAAATTGTGTGCGATACTTTTTATAAAAGTGAGTAAAAGTAAAAAAGAAATATTAACAAATAAATAAAAAAGCCTTCAAATTAACACACACTAAATCCGTAAAATGGCTTGTGACGTATTTTTAAATTAAATTTGTTATTATAATTGAACTTTTATTTATAGTATTTTTGTAGGTATTACAGAAAATACAAATTAAGAGTAAAGATATTTTTTATTATAGTACATATTATATACGTATATTAATATCAAGCATTTGCCTTTTTTTCAATTCTCTTTCTTTTTTCATTTTTTCCATTAAAAAAAAACTCTTACCCAAATTACCCGTTACATAAATTGCACAATGACAAAAATTTAGTCCTAAAAAAATTTAACTTATAGGCAATATAAATACGTGTTCCATGCGGGATTCGCAAATCATAGCTAAGTCACTGTGCCACTTAGTTATTTAACACAAAATAAAACGCCATCATTATCATCATTATAACTTTTTATAAGTCCATCGCTAAACAAAGATAGGTAATGACATAAAGTACTTTCCTAAGCTACCTAACACCTTCAACCTGTCTACTAAAAAGTGATAAAATAAAAAAAGAATACTTACGAAAATTTATAAGAATTGGGCATATTAGCGGTTTCCAAATCATAACGCATATCCTGAGGTATCGGTGGACTCCCGACGACTGGACTGGTCAAGGCTGTCGCTGTCAGCAACAAAACACTAACAATCTGAAAAAATCTGCAACTATAGGTGATTGTTAGATAACTAAGTTATAGTGTAGTAGTAGTAACAGTTTTCACTGTATATTATCATAATACAAAAAATTATACAGTATATGTAAAATAATTACATAGTATTAAATGATTATTATACATAAATAAATTACAGACATGTTACACTTGCGTTGTTAAATTAGCCGTTTTTTCTTTTAGAAATTAAAGAATTTTCTTAAACCGTTAGCGGTGAAGATGGGTTAAGAGCAAAGGTCAATATCACCTGTACACTAATGACATTCACAATTTCATCATGTGTGATTAAATGTGATTAAACATTATGCTCTATACACAAGTTTTTACAATCTCTATCTTTGACGACATCGTGCAATCATCGAGAAGGTCAACCGTACTTAGCACTTCTAGTACAATGTATAAAGTAGTAACTAAATGTTTGCTTTTTTGTTTAAAATTTCAGACAGAATTATTTAATATTAATTACCAGGATGAACAGCATCTTGGTTTTGTTCACGTGTGACAGGTGACTTCCTGTACTGGCTATAGTCCGAATGTGCTAACGGTTTCGTAAGATCTCCTTATATATATAAGTCCCCGATTAGTGCGCTCGCACGCAACAGGCGGAACACTCCAAACTCCGCTTGCTCTGAAACTGAACTAATTGTCACTGACTATTAGCTAGATCGACATACGAATGGGTAAAATATGTACTAACGTTGTACGTTATGGCGAAACACGTTAAAGTGAAGTGGCGTTAAGTATTCTATTTACATGGAAACAATAGATCGTAAATATTTATTAAGTGTCTTAAAATGAGTTTATTTGTGTATTTTGTTAATATATACTTTTATAATTATTTATCAATAAAATACACAAATAAACTATAAAAATATTAATAATTTTATAACTAAATGAAATGAAAACTCGTTGACAAATTAATGAAATATTTAACTATTTTCTCGTTAAAGATTTCAACGCGTTCCAACACACATTTCAATCGTCAGAATTTATTTTAACGTAATTCATCACCACATTTTAATCAACACATTATTAATTATAACTTTACACTTTAATGATTTTTATATTTACGTGAATAATATGAATTAAATAAAACTAGTTTAACGGATTTTTATCTCATTTAATTGTACTTATTTAAGACTCCTTTTAAAATCCATAAAATTATCTCTTTTAAATAAAATAGCTGCCAAATTATCATTACTGGTATCAATAGACTAGCTAATAAGCGTCCTTTTTTCTAGGTGGGTGTGGCCGTGGTAGGAAAAGGGGAGATCTCCCGCCGGGCAAGGTGTTCTGCCCGGGGAGCGGCCAACACTCCAAGTGATAGTTCGGAGAAGTTCTATATATACTGTCTATGATTCGGAATGTTGATAGCGTGATTTAGGCTTCGGTGTATTTCGCTTGTGGCGGCGACGACAGCGCCGCTACATCACCCCCCTGCTCAGACCGGAGGTCGTTAGTGCAGCCTTGTTGCCGACGAATGTGCAAGTGCCAGGAGATTGCCTTGTAGTCTGCGGTGAGTCGAGATGAAGGCAAGTAATCTGCGAGATTGCCGTGAAGCAGAGGCGAGCAGTAAGGCTCAGAGCCGTGCCGAACACTGTATAGCGCAGAGAGTAGCTTGAAGGAACAGGAAGCATTATTATTCCAATGCTGCGATGAACCTTGTGAAGCTAGATGGCTTGCAGGATATGAAGACTGCAGACGATATCTGCTTGGGAGCGATACGGTGGGGTATTATATGACGATGATGAAGCTTGAAGTTTCCGAAGGTAATCACGTCGGGGTCACCACTGTGGCCGTGGTAGGAAAAGGGGAGATCTCCCGCCGGGCAAGGTGTTCTGCCCGGGGAGCGGCCAACACTCCAAGTGATAGTTCGGAGAAGTTCTATATATACTGTCTATGATTCGGAATGTTGATAGCGTGATTTAGGCTTCGGTGTATTTCGCTTGTGGCGGCGACGACAGCGCCGCTACAGTGGGTAGCATTTATTTTTTGCCTACGAGTCCCTCTGGGTAGGTACACCTCTCTCATTTGTTTTTGCCATTAAACAGCAGTGCTTGCACGTAGCCTTCTTTGTTTAAAGTGTGGTGCAGGTGTCTATCAATTGCAGTAACCGCTTAACATCGAGTGGACTGTGTCTTCATTTCACACAAAAGTTTTATAAAGCATAAGATAAAATTAAATATTTAATAATTAAATGTGAATAATTCTAGCAAGCATTGCTAGAATTATTCACAACATTAATCTTCTTCAATGGATATTTGGATCGGATATACTATTTAAAATACACAATATTTATAATACTTATAGCGTTCCTTTTACTTTATCCTCCTTAAAGGGCAACAACCTTAGACAGTTGCTGATAATAAATTATGAGAAGTACGTGATTTGAATCCTTTCTACCAAAGTAGTCTTATTTTCTTTGTTTCCTACTGAGCGATTAGGTTTTTGATTCTAAATCAATAGATCACAATCTTATATAATAATAAATGTAATTTTAAAGAATTTTTTAAAAATTTATCATTACTAAAACAAGCCTAGCATTAAGCTGTCTAAATTTAATTAAAATTAAAGCGCGTGGCAAGCACGCGACAATATTTATGAAAGATAAATATTTAATAAAAATAATAATATATTAATTTCTGAGGTTTATGTTCAGCAATGGACGTGTAAAGTGCTGTAATAAACGAATGAATTTTAATATATTTAGTGATATTTAAAAGATATGCCTTTCATCATCATCATCGTGGCTTATCACGAGTGTATCTGAACATTGGCCTCCTCCGAAGATTTTTATAAAACTTAATCTAGCTCTCTGCATTCATTGACTTCCTGTAAGTCTTATAAGTCGTTTCTTTCAAGAGTTCCTTCTTATCTTTTACTATAAATAAATATAAAACTGATTTTTCTGAGCATCACACAAGAATAAATAAGAATTTTTTAAAGTAAATATTAAGTTTAATCATTGGCTTCCATTGACGTTATTAATGCAAATTTAAAAACAATCGATAAAAACAATCACATTTTATTACTATTTACAAGTAAGATAGCAGAAAATGTATCGTGACACATAAGTTTGCCGAGTGGGTGTTAACAAAGATTTAATTAGAGTTACGCTAAGTAGATTGTAACATATGATATACTAATGATATAATATTTGGATGTTTGTTACCTTGTCATTGCCGTTGATGTTTGTTTGTTTCTGTTTCTACGTGGGCAGGAGCTAGTTTTTAATTTTTTTATCATGTTTAACAACTATTGTACTTATTATAATTTTATTGCAATGAATGAAATTATATCTATTTTCTACAGATAGCAAGCTCAATATAGCAGTGGCTAAGAATTGCTGGAGGTGCTATGGACCCGGTAGTTTATATCCAGCATAGAACAAGTTGCTCAAGTTGAACAAGAGCTCTAGATGTTTATCGTCATGCAATTTGAGAATGTGAAACGTCTCAACGATACAGGCGAAAACTTAGTTTGTGACCTTAGTGCTTCAAAAAAGAGGAGAGTAAACATAATAAGGTGTGAAATAACATTTTTAGGTACATTATTTAAAAGTCTAAAAATACATCACAAGAAAGCCTGTTGAAAGCTCATTTGCAGCTTGATACTTTGAAAACTATGCTAAATCGCAAAAATGGCTTAAGGAACTAAGTACATAATTATTTCTAATTATACCTCACATAATGTGAACGGTAATAAAAATAGCATCCTTAACCTGTTAACATAATATACAAGTGCTTTATATATACGTGCTATATATGTGTTTGTTATATTTTTTACCTAAAAAAGTCAGACCTATGTATACATATACATTTGATTCAGTCAAAACTCTAGAAATTACGATACTGCAAAAACATGTTAGGGCAGACTGACAGATTGAAATACTATGGACCTCTAAATGCAATAACGTGTTGCATTTTGTTCAACTTATCGTTGCACTTACTTCGATGTTTTGAATAAAGAAATCCTTTAGTATCTTGACGACGAAAATCAAAAACAAAAATTACAAAGACATAGTAAGTATTACATTTTGGTGAGCTCAAACTTATTCTTGTAGTTTTATTTCAGCAGACGTACTCGTACAATGAACTTAATAATCAAGAATTTAATTTGTAATTATTTGCCTGGGAATATAAGGATAAAAACATTGTTGAAAACAATAGCACATAAATTGAATTATAAGTTTGTTTTTCTCCTATTTCAGTTTCCCTCTGTTAATAATATTTCCGAACATTCTCAAAGGAATTTTTGCATTCGGCACTGCGAATATCTCTAGTTTGTCGTTTCCATCATATTATTATTGAAACTTAATTCATTTCATTGGTTCAAAATTATTAACATTAATCATTAAGTAACTCACACTTACATTAGAGTCATTCCCGCTGTTGTATTTTCACCTAAATAATGAAGACATTTTATATATCTAAACTGGATAAACATTCAGACCCGGATCGTTTATTTGTAGGTCTTAGCACCAGTAGAATTCAATATTTGCATAATTAGTTGCAGTGACTCATCTCATAAAAATATATTATTCTGCTTTCGATTGGTGTCTTTATTTTATGTTTGTACCATTACGTCATCTGTTTTTTTATTTGTAACAGCACATGCATGAAATTGGGTTTAGATTCATTAGGAATATATGACATATACTTTATACGTGGTATTAGTAGTATAGTTGTAGCACGAATGGGTCGGCTCGACCGAGGAAGGACCACGTTCTCACAGAATACCAGCGTCAAATAGTAATGCTGCTGTGTTTCGTATGGTGAGTGTAGAGAACCGGAAACCCTTTTTACTGGAAACGAGGTATTCCATCTTAGTCCTCACGGGTGACAACGCATCTGCATTTTGATTCGTAATAGAGGATAGATGTAGATGTCTATGGGCCACATCAACTACTTACCATCAGATGGACAGTGTGCTCGTTTGTCACCCTATCCTATAAAAAAATATATTAATATTTATTATTTGAAAATAAAAATAACTTATAATTGTGTAACACTATAGACAGCATTTTTTTATATATTAAGGGTGAGAAACGAGCACACGGTACACCTGATGGTAAGTGGATTCTATGGCCCATAGAGATCTAAATGTATCCCAAATTAAGAATCAAAATGCAGATGCGTTGTCACCCTGAGGACTAAGATGGAATGTCTCATTTCTAGTAAAAAAAGAGTCTCTGCTTTTTCACACTCATTATACGAAATAGTAGCGTGTTTGCAGCATATGCTTCATTTCGGAGGCTTAACTACATTTTACCCATTTCCACTAAAATTACGCTTACACAATCTTTACTACTCCCTATCCTCGACTATGCTGATATCACCAAGGAGCAACTTAACAAACTTACCCGACTCCAAAATCTCTGCATATGGTTCATATTTGGGCTTCGTAAATATGACCATATCTCGGAATACCGCACTAAGCTCAAGTGCTCCCTATCCGTCTTCGTCGGAATATTCATATACT